GCTGGCCTGCGGGAGCCCGCGGGATCTGCCGCACAGACCTGGTTATTTACGGCTTGCCCGGGGACCCCGGCGAGCAGGCATCTCCGGATGACGGCAATTCGCCTTAAACAGGACCAGGTACCTGGGCAGAGGGGGCGGCCAGTGTGAGTGGCCATACAGGCGGCCTCTTTCTTCGCTGTAAATTAATCTGATGAGAGCGGCTCAAAGAAACACCCTGTGCTGGTTCCTGTTTGAGAGACGTGGAGAAGGGCCAGCTACGAACTGTCGGGACAAGCTGGGAGGTTCTGGAAACACAATTCTTGCCCAAACAGCCTGGATGCCTCTGGGTTCCGTCTCTTGAGTCTTCTGCCTTTTTTTTTTCCCCTTAAATGATCTGCTGATACAGAGCAGGGCTGAGAAGGACGGCCGAAACAGAAAAACAGCTGGCGTGGAAGCAGATAGGATCGCGGTGATTTATTCCCAGGGATTTGATATTTTAAGTTATTGTTGTTGTTATGTGTGGGCAATAAATCATTGTTTAAAGTATCTGTTAATAGAGTGTTTTATTCTTAAAAAATAATAACTCTTTTTTTTTTTCTTCTCTCTTTCAAGTGGATGGGTTGTTTCTCGAAGCCGAACCCTCGGGTTTTATTAAGAGACGGGACAATAAATAAGAACGTGTCACTACGTCTCTCCACTGGGAAATCTCTGCGCCCGATCTTCTCATCGGGAAGCGTCGGTCCTTCCCGGCCTTAGCAGGGGGAGGGAGGGGGCTTCGAGGCGATCGCTTAACGTCCTGTGTTTGGATGTAGGGAAGTGTCTTTATTCCTCTGGCTTTTTAACTAGTGGGTTCATGTCTAGGAATTTTAAACACCGTGATGGGTTCTCTCAAAAGGCGGCGCTTAAAATTGCATCCCCCAAAGTCCTTCAAGTCAGGCCCAGAAGCCCCCCGAGCCCAGCCGGGTCGCGAAGGGTGATTACAGCGTTCCTTTGTGTGACAGCAGCCCCGCGTGGGCGCTCTCCCACCCTCTCCTGAAAGTAACTAACTGGGCTGCAGCTTAAAACTAATCTTGTCCTTGGCTCCCCGGCAAGAGGTCAGGAGGGGAGCCCCTCAAACACCGTCTCCGGCGAGATCTGAAGGCACCGAGACTATAACGCCTCGGACAGGGCGGGGGGACGGAGGGAGAGGAAGGAAAAGAATAAAAACAAAATTAAATTTTTACAATTAAGCGTATTCCTTCTTTTTTTTTCATTTAGTTAATTTCCAGCCGCTCACGTTTATCGCACATTAATTATGCATACAGCTTTTGTGCGACTTAAAAAGTGAAGAATGTGATCCTTATTCCTTCTGGAGGGCCCGGCTGCCAGCTGGAGGGGCCTCGGGTCAGGAGGGGCAGGGGCTGCCCCCCAGCGGTGCGGAGGGAGGGGGGACAGGGACGCTCCACGCCCCCACCCCGAGCTCTCAGATCTGGCCACCTTGGCTTACTGAAAAGCATTTCCTTCGGCAGGGGTGGTGACCGCGGGCCCTGGACGGTTGGCTGGATGTGTTTCTGAGCCAACTCTAAGAAAAAGACCTCACACTAGCCCAGTGGTTCTCAACCTTGGCTGCACATTAGAATCGCCTGGGAATCTTTTTAAAATCCTGATTTCTGGGCCTCATCCTCCGGAAATTCTGTTTCTTTGTTATTAATGTTGTGGCCTCACCCCATAACAAAGAAACAGAAATTCCGGAGGATGAGGCCCAGAAATCAGGATTTTAAAAAGATTCCCAGGCGATTCTAATGTGCAGCCAAGGTTGAGAACCACTGCACTAGCCCCTGACCAGCCCCCCCACCCCATCAGCTTGTCTTGGCCAATATCTGTGTTCAAACCCACTGGCCCAGGCCTGGGCGCTCAAGCAGGCCCCCGGGGTGGGGGACATTTCCTTCCACCCCCCCCTCCCCTCCGTCTCCCCTCCATGCCAAAGGAGGCCAAGGAGGTGGAGCCCGAGGTGGGAACAGTCAAGGGTGGGAGAGCCTTCTTCCAATCCCACCCAACCCGGCCACAGGGACCCCGGGTGCCCCCACGATGGCCTCGGGTGGGATGGGCGGGTGGGATGGGCAGTTGGCCTCTGCCAGCCACTGTGTGACACAGGCCAGGCCACGTCTCTCTGTCCTCCTCTCAAACCGGCTGGAAATCCCAGGCTGGGCCCCGAGCTGGGCTCCCTGCTCGGCGGAGGCCTGCGTTTCCCCTTCAGTCCCGAGACCCGGTGTCAGGGCACCTGGCGGGTCCTGAGTGCCCATCCTGAGCCGGCAGCCACCGTATTCCCTGCACGGGTTCCGAGCAGACAGACCCAGGACCCAAGCCCAGAGCCGCCCTCCCTGCTGGGCGATTTGGGCCGCAGGGCTCCCACACTCTGACCCCCGGTTCCTCACCTCAGACAAGGCTCCACACAGGCTCGTCCTGGGGTTTGACTGCCTCCAGCCCGGGGTGAGCACCCAGGGCAGGGGAGCTCACAACAGCCCCAAGAGAGGGGTGTGGACACCTCATTTTACAGTTGAGGAAACTGAGGCTTTGGGAGGGAAGACGCCTGGCCCAGCCTGGACACAGCAGGGCCAGCTGTGGGGCAGCTCCCAGTGTCCCCCTGGGTCCCACCACCCTCAGCTCATGAGGGGCTGGAACCTGACCCCTTTTCTCCATCCACTGATGGTCATGCCATGGGTCCCTCTCTGCTTACGATCGCTTTTGTGGCAGGATTTTTTTTTTGCAGGAAGGGGGGCCTGGCACATGGACTCTTGGTCCCTTGGTCTCCCTCCATGTACAACCACAAACCAGTGATGTGGGTCTCAGCCGGGGAACAAAGACTGTGGAGCCGCCACACGGCCGAGGGGCTCAGCAAGCTGGGGCCTGCGCGGCCAGCGGCACCCACGGCAGGCAGCCACCAGGGGCGGCACGGGGCGGGGGGGGCCTGGACGGCCCACACCCCACACTAACCCTCCCCAATGGGCCACGGGCGGGAGCTTTGGGCCTGGCTGCCCTTTCTGTTTGGTTGTTTTAATAAAAACTGCTCTCCCAGTAGCTCTGCCGGGATAAACCATGAAATCTCTCTCCCTTCTCTTCTGGATCCCCCACCCCTTTCTGCAGTGACGCCGTGACGAACTTTAAAATAAAATCGTCATCATAAAGAAGTCACCCGCGCATCCTCATAAACAACATGTTTCACATCTATTACTCTGCCTTCTGACAAACTAAAATGTGAGAATATGCCAAAATTCGGGTTTCATAAAACAAATTTTCGTCAAGTCCTTCCCTTTGACGAAATGCCTCCGCTTAGTCCCGGGCCGGTGAGACTCACTTTGCGGGCCGCAGCCTGTCCAGAGCCGGGTCTTGGGGCTCACATCCCCGAGGGTCCTGGGCTCCGTCGGTCACTCTCTGTGACCGACAGGATGCTGGCTTTCCCAGCGAGCCGCCGAGCAGCCCTTCACCCGACGAGGGGGCACCATCCCTCTGAAACGGAGCCTCACAGGCTCCCCTCCACGAGCCCAGAAACCCCTCCATGAGCCCCTCCCTTTACTGCTCTCTCCCTCTGCACGGACGTGGCCAGAGGTCCAAGGGGCCGTGTCAACGAGGAGACGTGGAAAGGACATTCTGCCAGGGACACGAGCAGGAGCGTCACGTGGCGCTGCCCACAGTGGCCGGCACAGCCAGTTCAGAGGGGAGCAGGAAGGTGCTCCAATATCCCCACCCCCAGGGACACCCTCTCCCCAGGGACACCCTCTCCCCAGGGACACCCCCTCCCCAGGGACCCATTAGGACCACAGGCAGGGCTGTCACCAGACACCAAGCGAGGGATCTGTCCCCGACCTCCCTCCCCAGAGCAGGGCCACGCTGGGACGCCCCAATCAGCGGTGAGGCACGTGGCACAGAACCCATTGCTAATCAGAATCAGAAACCCCTCCACGAGCCCAGGAACCACATCCGTCTCGCCCACTTCTGTCTCCCAGGTGCCAGCCCAGGGCCTGGCACAGAGCGGGCACCTGATGGAGCGAATTAGAGCTTACATCCAGTCTCTTCTCCCAGGTTAGAAGAAAGTTGAGGTCCTTCCTCCTGGCCCAGCTGACCACAGGGCTCGGGGCTGAATGGCTGGTGGTGATGTGTGACTAGGCACACCTGCTCCCTGCCTTTCTGGGCGGCAGCCGCTGCGGGTGAGCAGCCTGAGGAGCCCATGGGGACAGGGGCAGAAGGAGGCAGCTGGGGCCAGAAGGTATGGGCAGA